TAACCAAAATTGGGATGTCCAATTGGTTCTCTAAAATTTTGCTATTTTGTGATTGGATCAAATTTTCCCAATGCCGTACGGTAACGGTAACAGTAATGGTGATTCTGTTTCGTGATTGGACGATTTCTCTTGCCGTGCGGTATTACGGTCGGTAACCGTAAGTGCGGTTTTACCGTCAGTAAGTCTGATTTCTGATTGGTGCTTAGAAGCTTTTCTCTTTTCTGATTGGCCAAACTTAGACATCGGTACAGTAGCGGTAACGCTGTCCCACTCATACGAAATCCGCTCTAGAATACATACACAATGTACTGCACTGATGAATCTCGATGTGTCTCTTTTTTACAAATATGCGACATTGTGGAGTGTATGGAGTCATGGACTTTTTAAACAACAACGACGACAACAATTTATTACAATTACAAGTAAATCAGTCCTTATATTTAGTCTAGGACTATTCGAGGAGAGGACGATATGGAAAAAAAAAGAAAGATAGCTAGTGTAAAATGACTTTTAAAATAGCTGTATGTGGATCACATTTTGCAGATATCGATGAATGCATCGAGTGGACCTTCAATTGTTCGGCCTCGCTGCGATGTGAGAATACCATTGGATCCTACAATTGTAGATGTCAGGAAGGCTTATATTGGATTGACAACAGATGCCGTGGTAAGCAAAATGCAATCTAGCTAAAAATCAATTGTGAATCAAGCTTTTTTAGATTGACTATTTTTTGTCAGACATTTCGCAAACATTTCATAAAAATTATAGTGAAAGACATAATCCAAAAATTTAAAGCAATTGCTTTCGTATCTCGCATCTTTGTTCAGATTTTATTGATATCGCCATCAAACACAGCAAGGCCATGGTGTTTTAATGACCTTGTTTAGACTTAACGCGTTTATTCCGTATTTCAACTCTCTCTGTTTTGCAATCCTAAGAACTTTCAACTGGAGAGAAGAAACCAACCCCTAAACCTCCACCAAAGCCACCAATACCCTCCAAGGAAAATCTTCGTAATTCTGTTAACGTTACAATCAAAGAATTCAACATTTCAGAGGTAAACACTAAACTAACGATTCTTATCCCGTGGTACATTGCCAAGGCTTCTAGATATAGCAACTAGTAAAGCTCTCTCGGCAAATGCTATGAAAATAAAGCTTGGAAATGCCTTTACCGGTATCAAA